TGTTTCTTATTAGTGTTTTGCTGATGCAATCACCACCAGAGTGCACGGATGTTGGGTGTTCGTCGTTACCACACATACAGTAATTACAGTGATGCTGTGCTGAGCAACTCCAGCAGTGGATAAGAGGCCTGTGTCATCGGGCAGGGCTGGTTTTCTAAATTTGTACACCTTCAGTGCTGCAGTGTAAACTGACCCCTTCCGTTGTGTGTACGTGTGCGTGTTTTACTCCCAGTGACCACATCAGTGGAGTGGATTCTGAAGAACTGGCACGACATGAATGGGACATTTAGAGGTCTGCTGCTGACTGGGACCTGTGTTGTGCCTCACATGTGGTCTGTGACCCTGCTTTCAAACAGTGTCAGGAAAAGAAAAACAGGATGCCTTAAAAGCATTTGACTCGGCCCATTTGTGAGTGTGACTAAGAAGTTTTCTGAGGCGATGAGACAAGTCCGGGCATGTTAGGAAAGAAAATAGTTCATTGATTGTCAGAGTCTCCTGTGCCTGCTGTGCTCCTGCCCTGATCTGGTGCGCAGTTATTTAAGTGCAAAAGCAAACCACAAGTTTTTCATGCAATCAACCCTGTATATACAGACCTTATAGAGAAGCTGTGTGCGAGCGTTGGTATTTGGTCGCATGTACTGTACATGGACATAGGGTCAAAGGGTTTCTCAGTTGCATCCGAAAGGGAAGTCAACTCCTGTTTTAACCCCAGGAATGGAATATTAAATAAACAGATCCTAAATAACAGTTCCTTCAAGTTACATTCCAAGCAAAAGGTCAGGTTCCTGACATGCACATCTTTTACTTTCAGCTGCTCCATTCAGCTTCACCACTGTGGATCTTCACACACAAACAAACATATGGTTTCTGTGTTGTAAACAACTTTAGTCACTGTTTTGATGCAGCCTTACAATATTTCCCTAAAGCCATAAGTGAGCTGCATATGTGAAAGAAAACAAGGTGAGATGTCTGACATTTGTACAGCGTTCAGTTAATTGGTCCGGTCCCAGCTTCAAGTGGAGTTTTTCTGGGCTGTAATAATGGTTTCAAACAGAGAATCTCAGTATTTAATATACCAAATACACTTCATCTACTGAAGTGTATTTGTAATGCTCTAAGACCAGCGTCTTCTCTGAGGCCACACTCTTCTATAAACAATAGAAACACAAAAGTAGCCAATTAAGTGCTATTTATGGTTCAGTAAAATTGTATTTTGGCGTGGTTTCCTGTGGGGATGTTGTAGTTGTAGAATGATTCATTGCAGTCACTGAAGGCAATTACTGTAACTCAAAATGTGATTTATTTATTTTTGTGTTTGTTTATTTATTGAACATTTATTTTAGCAGGTGATTTCCTGGTTTACAATGGCTAATTAAACAGCAGTTACTCAAGCGTAAACATGTTTTCAAGATTTAATACATGTGCAATTGACCTCAGTGGAAAATTTAGCTAACAAATAAAGCAACTCTTAGGATGTGAACTGCAGATGACACCAGAAGAAGTATAAATGCTTGGGGGAGGGGCAAGACGGCTAACTGACTAGCTTTGGATGTGACTATGAATATTAAAGCTGTTTTCATCAATTTAAAAAATGATGAGCATCTCCTATAGCAAACATGAAAAATTGCCTTTTTCTAAGGAAACACAATCTGTTTGTAACCTGTATTTCATTTGTTATGAATGGCCGTCGACTGACCTGACTGTCTCTCATTGGAACGTCATTTGACCTGTGCTGTAGACTGAGAAGTTAAACACTTATAAATCAAAAGAGGATTGTTACAAACGAGGAGAGAGCCGGTCAACAAATCCCAGAGAAATGATGGAGAAGGGTCAACCAAGGTCCTACTTCTTAGCCGTGGTTCTTCAATTGGAACCAAGTAATAAATTGGAGCAATAGAAATTCACTCTGAAAAAGCAAAGTTTTAATCTTCTGTATTAGTGAAGTTAAACCTGCGAGGTGTACGACCTTCTATCAATCATATGCTCCATAGGATGCACCATCAGGTATTTGTCACCTGTATTAAAAAATGAAACGGTGCTCAATGCTCAAAGACCAGTAAATATATGCACATTAACTCCGAGGTGTCATGGTGGGAGATATGATCAGTGTACGCTGTTGACAAATGAACGCTGCATAAGGCCCCAGGCAGTTAAGGTCACGTGGTCTCCCAAGGGTCTGAGGATAATCATTCACTCAGAGCTCCACGTGGGACCAACGGGATGGATCTCAATACTCCAGTGACACTGATGGATATTCATGCAGTGTTTTCTTGGAAGTACTATGCAGGTTGCATGGAGTTGGTCACATAATAATAATGATGATGATGGTGATGATGATGATGAACAACAACAACAATAATAATGTTTTTAATAATAATAATAATAATAATAATAATGATAATAATAATAATAATAATACTTAATAGATGTAACAAAGAATATACTTTTTAACACTGGTAATAACAGCGCCACTGTTCTTGCCCCATTTCTCCTTTGTTAACTAGTAGACCCATAGATGACGGCAAAACGAGTATATTACATGTTTTGTTGTAAATATCACAGAAGAAGAAGAAGAAGGGAAGCGAAGGAAAACATTTTAATTAATCATTATCATACAAAAGTATTGTGAAAGTATATATATATATATATTATTATATTCAAATTTGTTGTAAATATATTTTTTTCTCTAAATAGTTATAGGTGTACAGCTGCACACAATTTAGGTACTTTTATTACCCCTGTAGAAACGTTTCCTACTAAAGGGACAATTCGGTTCAGGTTTCAGTTAGTCTAACTATGGTGGGATCAGGACCAGGCTTTACTGTACATGTATGTAAATGTGACTCACAGCAGAACCCAGAGCGTACAGTGGTAAATGTAACACACTTTCATCTTCGTGTGGTAACGAGCAGCGGTTAGACGCTGGATGTATAATGAGGAGATGAAGGCTGAAATGGGAGACATCTGTCCAACCATTTAACCTACAGCAGATTTAACGTACAGCTCTTAAGCCGCCGGCCCTTTTCTGAATGATTTCCTGACCCTTGATTAATACTGCGTCAGGGAGCAGAAGCCAGTGTTCCCAGGAACAGCAGCTGCATGGTTCTTCCCAAACCGCTACTGAAGAACCCTGCAATTATCAAAGCATAACATGGAACCCTACATTTGACATTGGGTTCCATGTACGGCACCCTGCACCAATTATGGATGCTGGAGATGTCATCTGGAAGTGGCTGCTGTGTTTTTCCCATCATCCCCAGCAGAGTGGTGAACCACCTTGTGCTCCAATCAATACGCAGGCTTCATTTTGTAATTTATAGTCAGCTGCCGGTTACAGAAGATGAATGGATGTAAAGAGGTGACTATGGAAACGCTGACGGTTGATATAAAAGAGCATTTTAACTTTGCATTAATTTGATGTGGTTTCTTTTGACCTGAGAAACTTCAACAACGGTTTCAATGTTGTACGTACGCACAATTTACTATATATTTGTTAGGTAATTTTAAAGGTTTAGAACTAATTTGAATTGTTTTGATTAGAATATAATTTGTAGTAACCTGGTATTTAATTTAATTTAATGCTAAATAGCTTGATACAATCGTAACAATGTAATCCATTTACACACACACTCATGTCAATCTCATACAGCAGAGCGGTAGATAAATACAATTACGCTTTCCCTCAGTCAGAAGTCATAAAAATCCAACAACATTGATAATAATATTCAAACTTAGAACAACATACAAGCAAATAAAAGAAGAATAAATTGATAAAGACCTCTGCACTTGACCATCAAAAAGGTCAAGGACGGCTGTGAGGCAGAGTAGTGACTTTTGATCTCTTGTAATTGTGTGTATAAAAGTGCAGGACAATTCATCTGTTTTGGCTGTGCCGAGGGAAGGTCAAACCTGTTGTTTTGTTGAAAGGTTAGTCTGGTGATTTCATCAGGGATGAGATGGTGAGGTTGAGCTATGTGCTGTCTGATGCTGCGAAGAGGATTTATGTCTACGGGGGACAGACAGGAAGGCAGTAAGGACTTTTTCTTTTACCCTGTTAAACCAATGTTGCCAGTAGTCAACCAGTATCTGTTAATGGGACCTGAAACATGTTGGATCAAAAAGCAGTTGAAAAGAGGTTCTAACTCAAAACTGTCTCGTAATGTTTCTTTCTTAAATCAGAATGTATTATAGTTGACTCTAATTATGTTTTAGGAGAGACACGTTAATTGCTCAAAGGTTCTGCAGTCCGACATGACTGAGGCTGCTGCGGTTTAACAGCAACAGAGGTAAATGCGGGTGAAGCATGGAAGGAAGGACTGGTTATATCACACACACACACACACACACACACACACACTCACTCCCGTATAGACCAGTGCACTCAAGAACCAGTCTGGCTTCCTATACAGCGTTACATCTTGTGCCAGTGCATTGAGGTTTCCTCTGCAACGTAACTCAGCACCGAGTGAGGAAGGCGGTCTGTTTATTCTGAAAACCACACCAGGAGGCGGTGTGTTTATACAGAAGCATCTGGCGTCACCACAGATGGCTGCCAGGCTGCACATTAGATCAGAATAATTGGGCAGGACAGCAGCATGAGATGGACAAATGAAAACCTCCTCCTGTGTGACCTGATGGCTGGAGGAAGGCGTGAACACTGACGCTCATTGTCCGACAAAGATGTTAAAGGACAAGGAAGGTTACAAAATATGGATTAAGGCAAACATTATTATGGTATTGATTTAGAATCCGCTTACTGACATTAACTGTTCACTGTTGACTGATATAATTACATTAATATAAGAGTTTGAACACTACAGCCCCCACATATTGATTGACTAATTTGCTAATGCGACTAAACCTGGCATTTGGGAATCATACCTTCTGTCTTTTATGTGGAAAACATGTCACTGCTCTGCTACAATATCTGAAAATTGATCACTTCTGTCTAAAATTCATTCGAAAGTCTTAAAAAAATGTAACACCTTTGCTTTTCAAAGTAGAAACACAAAAATCAGTCAGAAACCTCACTAAAATATATAAACATTTTCGCTTTTATTAATGATTTTTTAACCGAAATTTAGAGACATGTTGAAAAGAGGTGGTGAAATTCCCAGAATTAATATTGAAGGAAAACATTAGTATAAAATACGATGAACTGAGAGGAAAACTGTTGGGAAATATATACACAGCTATTTTACAGTTCACAAGAAAATCTCTACCTACTTTGCCTGAATTCCCTTTTTGATCCTGTCGCAGTGATACCATAAATAACCTTGTCGCCACTGATTGCAGAACACTCAAAACTTTCCTCAGCTCTGGTTTTGACATCTGTATTTAAGTTGCATTTGTTCACTGATAATTAATGTTTTCTTTTTTGTTCGTGGTTCATTGCTCCAATACTATGCCAACAATCAATATCATCAACATAACCAAATACACAAACAGCCGATGCAAAGGTAGAGATAAATAACTTACATGAAATGGTGAACAGAGAGGCTTGCACAAACATATCCACGAGAAAATGAAAATCAACAATGAAAAGGCTTATACCACTGCCATAGACCATATATAAGAAATGAGCACAGTCATCCTGTTGCTAGTAAGCTGAAGAATACGACCAGAACGTAGATTTGTACTTTGTATAAATATATATGAAAAGTGAAGCTTTCAATAAACATTTTCTGTAAAGGTCTACAATCTCACTACATTCTGGGCCCATAAACATGACGCACAGTTTGAATTACAATCTCATTTAAAGATAAACAAAGCACAATGGGAGTTGGTGTGTATGATTGGACCCTATGTATAGTCATGTTGGACCACCATAAGCTTAAGATAGACAATGTTGGTGCAGTGTGCAAGTAGTCAGTCAACACAAAGAGTAGTAGAAAAAGTAACAGAATGGTTAGCTCAGGAAAAGCTAACTTGTGATCTAACCTATTCAAAAGTAGCTGAATCTTAGCTATAAAACTTAGCTTAGCTTTTGCATTTTTCAATAGATTTGTTTTGTGTGTATGTTATTATTTGTTTTACATTTATAGCCCCAAAAAAGCTAAGAAAAGTGAAGGAACAACATTTACAGGGTTGTAGAAACTTGGACATGAAAATAAAAAATAAACAAGACATGACACTATTATTACCAGAAATAAAAGGAGATAAGTTGAACTGATAGACATTGCAAAACATGGGGAACAAATAAGCAAATAATAGCCAAATTGAAATAAGTTAGGAAATAATTTAACAGAATAAGGAAAGATCAGCTAAAGTTCAGCCCAGAAGCAGTGGATATTTATATCCAAAACATAAGAATTGATGAAAATTATACTTTTCCATTGGGAGTCTTGTTACAAACAATATTGTGTACAGTAATGTGCTATCAGTCAAATAAAAAAGGAAAGAGATTTTATCCAGTTGTGACTATCTAAACCAACGAAGCACAATCGTAGAAAATACTGAAGGTGGACTTTTGTAGAAAACATAGCAATAAAAATAACCTAAAATGGTCATTTTAATACCTTAATGGAAACTCTTCAACACATAAATTCAAACATAGATTCAGTTTTAAAATAAAGATTGAAAATCTGTTTAAAAATGTATAACCATGTTGATTTCTTAAATATAGTCTATGACCGTTGTAGAGCAACATGTAGCAAAAAAAAAAAAAAAATCCCATTAATCAATCAAATAAATATGAAATAATACAGAGCACACCTGAAATGAACAGAGTTGTTACAATAAGATGATTTGATGAACCGCATCCAGCCGGATGTACAAGATAAAAAAATATTTGGTGAAAAATGCACTAATGGTAAAAAAAAAGAAGTGAAATAAAATATATACACATTATGAAAAGAGGCTCCAAATTTTATTCTTAGATAAAACAAGCGGAAGAGCAAAAGGAAACTGTGGGCGAACAGACAGCCTCTATTACATGGCTGGTAATGACAGAGAAACAGAGGGCTGGTAGACATAAAAAAGTACTTGAACAAAGAAGCTCCCAATTTCCGTGACACTCTCAGCCCACACAGGGTCTAACGGAAAAGAGATCTCTATAAAACAGGAGGAGGAAAAAAAAAAGCCTCTGTGCTTTTATCAGTGAGAGGCATCAGAAGGGAGTCTTCGGGGCACACAGGTAACAGTCCTGATTTGCTCCAGTGAATTTGTGTCTCTCTAAAAAATGCTCTCCATTGATATCCCACAGCAGTCAAATCAATTTCACAAGTTTCATTAGATTCCAGTCTGTTCCGCTCTGTCCAATTAGTGAAAGGACAATAGGATGAAAGGAAAGTCTTGTTAGCTCCCAGCAGAGTAGTATGAAAAAACAGAATGTCACAAAAAGAGTGGCCACGTTTGTCTTCTTCTAGTAGAACATTTTTTAAAAAAATCCTGTGTTAAGTCCAGTGGCAGTTCTTCCTGAGTTCAGTCCGAGTCATCGTTGCACACGCAGGCGCACTCCTCGTGGTGCTCCAACGGCACATCAGTCATCATCTTCTGCAGGCCTCGAACACCGTTCCGGTGTTTGAGCAGCAGAACCTGACAAAACAAGGACGTTCCAAAGAACAGCTTAAAAATATATATATGTTGTGTACCAGAAAAAGACTTTAAATATCAGATTTTTTGATTCACTTGTTAGGTTAGTAATATTCTGTTGATGTTTTGGTTCTTTACCTCATGGTATTTCTTGGTGGTTTTGGCTGGAACACACTGACAGTCGAAGCAGCGATGGGAGCAGCAGGCACAGTTTCCACCACAGCGCTTCACCAGGAGGCAGCTGGGCCAGAAGATGGCATCTGTCCTCTTCAGCTCCTCGCGCAAGGACACGGAGAAGTTGCGCGGGGTGCAGCTGTAGAGGCGAACATCCTCTCTTAACTGAGTGAGATCTACCCCACCTTAAAAGAGCACAGAGAATTGCATCGTCACGATAACTGCAAGCTGCCGTGCCAGTCCATTTTACAGAAAAAAAATGTAATACCTCTGGCCTTTCGGGTGTGAATGAAGGATTTTCCGAGCAAGTGCCACGTAGGTTTGTACAACTCCTCCATATCCAGTTGCCATCTCTCAGGTTCCAGATACTTCATGACCTCCTCCAGCGTGTTCAGTGTTGCCACGGCCTCTGACAGCTCCTCAACACCCTGCTGTGATGGAGCAGGAGGTGCAGGGGGGGCAGGAACCGATGCACTCTGCAGGAAAGAGATTAAAATGGGTGATTTGCAAAACCATGTATATTCCATAGTGTCTGTACAAAATGTACTAAATGGAAAACATGATTAGGAGCCAGGTGTCTGTGTAGGTCCTCAGTTAGCCAGGTCATTTAATCTGAAGCTGCTAAGACAAAACCAATTCAGTATGGAAGAAAATCCTCCTGGATAAGAGGAGACGTCTTCTAGAAACCGACCTACAGGAGGACTAAATAAAAAGGCTGAACTACATGAATTAAAAAATCAGCTGAATAGTAACTGAGATAGTAAATAACTAAGTCACGACAAAGTCAGATGACCTGAATTTCTACATTAAGGCAAATATAGTTAATAAAATATTTTCAAAAGTTTAGCCAAACAATAACTGTTAGCCTAGAAATGCCTCTGCTGCAAACACCAAACTGTGATTTCATAAACAGGAAAATTACAACATCAACAAGTGACATATTGTGTTCTGTGTGAAAGAACACAGACTGAGGAAAAAGTGGCTCTGCACTAGTGAATTTAAAGTCATGGTTAAACAAAAAAGGCGGCTGTAAATGGTCTGAGGCTCATTAAATGCTACAGCGGTTTGGATCTGAGCTGAATTAAACAGAAACACTGATGCCCCAGAGCAAC